TTTTTTTTTTTTTTTTTTTGGGGCTAAATACGTAAGTTACCCTTTAACTATGAACCAAATCTATGTTACTCACTTTTTGCGGACGAAAATTACCTTGCACGCTTAACCTTTTCAGAGTGTGCATAAGACACGCAACCTTTTTCTTGATCAGTTTTTAAATAAAGTTGTGATACGTGTCATTATTTTTATTGAAAAATAAACCACTATAAATTACAATTATACCCTTTAACTATCTTCTCCATTTCATCTCTTTCTCTTCTTTGCAAATTACCCCCTTTCATCTCATCTTCCCAAACACCTTATGAAACTACATATCTTCTCTCTCACCCTTCTCCATTTTCATCTATCTTCCATGTCCAACAAGCAGCGCATGATATAAATTTGATACATCTACAACAACATATAAACTAAAAACATATTTTATACAACTAATTATGTAGTATACAACTTATTTATAACTTATCTACAACTTTCATACATTATTTTTACTTAGTTAAATATAACTACAACATCATACATATTTTATATAATATATATTTTGTATATATTTTGTATATAATTTGTATATGATTTGTATATATTTTGTATGTGTTGTGTTCCTCCTTCTCTCTAAAATTTCAATCAAAACTTCTTATCTTAATACAATTTGATACATATCAACAACTTTATATAAAAAGATAGTATTTATAACTTAAATACAAATTTTATACAACGATTCATATATTATATAACTATTTTTTAACTTTTATACAACATTCAAATAAAAAAAGTATAACTATAACAGAATACAATTTATATACAACTATAATACAACTTTAATATAATTTTAATACAATTTTGTATGATATTATATGTCATGTGTTCTTCTTCTTGAAATTTCAATCTGAAATCCAGTCAAAATCAACTCTAAGATCTTCAGTAAACACCCTCAAAATTGAGATATAAACTCCAATGAATAATCACAATTGTTTGCAACAACACTCAATCCAAATAAATAATATTTTATGAAAATCCAAATTCAAATTCAAAGTTTTAAAGCTTTTTTTATGGCTGTCAATGGTGAAGAGTCAAACACCTTTAAAATTTATTGATTGATAATTTCAATTCGAATACCAATTATGCAACATGAAAGAAAACTGCTAAGTTAAAACTCTATAGTAAAATGATTAAAATCCAAGGATGAATTCCCTGAAAAAATAAGGACAAAGTAGATGAGAGAAGAGAGAAAAACAGAGAAAATTAAAGGAAAAAAATAAGGTTGGAGAAAGAACAGACAAGGTGTGTGTGAGAGAGAGAGAGAGAGAGAGAGAGAGAGAGATCGAAGAGAAAAAGAGAGCAAAGATAGAATAACTGATATTCTCTATTCAATTTCTATTATAAAGGGATACTCATTTAATACTAATTTGTATATAATTGGTAAATTGTATATCAACTTGTAATTAAGTTAAAACTTTAATAGTAAGGGTATGTAAGTTTCAAAAGTAATATATATAGATAAAATTCTCTTTATACATCTTCAAAAGTTAATCTTACTTCATTATCAATGAACAATTTTATTGACCAATTCCGCTGATAACTTAAAAATAAAATTCATTTCACAAATCAAATTACATGCTAATTGTATTAACAGAAATTTTAGTCATTGTTCATTACTTTGAGTATTCTGTTTAAACTTAGTTTTACTAATGAGCGTTCATAAATATTTGCTCTATTTGGTAATTTGACTTATAAGAAGTGCTAAGGGCGAATCAAGTCTAATTTAAGGACTTGATGTAACGATCCGACCGGTCGTTTTGTGTATTGTAGTCCCGTTTTCCTATTTGATGCTTCCCGTATATATATTTTGGTCGTGCGATGTAACGACCCAGCCGGTCGTTTTGAGCACTTGCATTCCATTCAGCTACTTGAAGTCCTGAGCAATATCGTATGATGTATTATGACTTGTGTGAATCGTCGATTTTGATTTTCATATTTTCGGAAGTGATTTGGAAGAATGAATTTTATTTTTGAAGCTTTAAGTTGGAAAAGGTTTACCGGATGTTGACTTGTGTGTAAATGGCCTCGGATTGGAGTTTTGATGGTTCCGTTGGGTCCGGATGGTGATTTTAGACTCGGGCATATGCCCGAATTTGCATTTGGCTATTTCTAGAAGGATTCGACCCTAATTGGCGACAAGTTGGAAATTTGAAGGTTTGGAAAGTTCATAAGTTTGACCGGAAGTTGACTTTGAGGATATCAAATTCGGATTTTAGTTCTGGGAGTTGGAGTAGTTTCGTTATATCATCTGAAACTTGTGCGTAAAATTTGAGAATATTTCGAGTTGATTCGATATGTTTCGGCTCGCGTTTTGGAAGTTGAAAGTTCAAAGTTTATTAATTTTGATTAAAGGTGTGATTTGTAGTTTCGATGTTGTTATGTGTGATTTTAGGCGGAAGAATGGACGCAGATGCGAGTCCGCAGATACTGACAATTGGGTCGCAGAAGCGCAAACATACTTGGCTGGAGAGCATCGAGGATGCGGAGGAATAGGCGCACATGCGTGTGCGCAGAAGCAAAATCCTTGGGCGCAAGAGCGGTCCTATGCGCAGATACGCGTTCTGCGGTCGCACATGCGATTTCGCAGGAGCGGATATTTTTCGCAGGTTCGAAGAGTCATTTTTCCAGCTTATACCATAGAAGCGGGCTTCACGTCGCAGAAGCGACGCCGCGGAAGTGCGTCATTGTTCGCAAAAGCGAATAGGACTAGGTAGAAGCTTAAGTTCGAGGGTTTGGTCATTTTTACATATTTGGAGCTATGGAGCTCGGATTGAGGCGATTCTTGAAGCAATTTTCACCATGTAGATTGGGTAAGTGTTCTCTACTCATTTTTGATTTTATATCATGAATGTATCTTCATTTTTGGCATTTGATCGAGGGTTTCAAAAGAGATATTGGTGGTTTTTATCTAAACTTTCCTAAATTACATTTTTGAGTTTTGAACATCGATTCAAATACGGATTTAAGTGAAATTAGTATGGTTGGAATTATAATTGAAGGGGTTATCGAATTTTATGAGTTTTATCGGGTTTCGAGGGACGAGCTCGGGTTTGACTTTTTAGTTGAGTTCAGGATTTTGACCAAAGATTCGACCTTCATCATTTGGAATTGTTATCTTAGGTATTATTTGATGCCTTTGAGCGCCTTTTGGCTAGTTTCGAGCCGTTCGGAGGATGATTTGAGCAGGATGGCGCTTCTAGGTGTATCGATTTGGCTCGTTTGAGGTAAGTGTCTTGTCTAACTTTGTTGAGGAAATTTTTTCTACTAATTATCATTGTTTGCTACATGCGGGGATGATGCATATATGAGGTGATGAGCATATATGCATGTACGAAGGTTAATCATGCTCGGGGGTAAATTATACGATTAATTGTGTCTTGTAAAATTTTGTGACCTTCTTGCTTCATGTCTTACTTGACTTCTAGCTTACTAAGAAATTGAAATTAAATGTTAGAAACCAAGATTTAGCTCATTATAACTTGATTAATATTTGACAGATTTTTGAAAAACCATTGATGTGTCTAATTCGGTCATCATTATGCGTAATCACTAATGCATCGTTACGTCCGTTATTCTTGAGATACTGGATTATATACTTGAGTTAAAAATCATTTTTTGATACTTGTCAAAATGCTTGAACGATAAAGTACTTGGGGTTTATTGATTGGTTATTGGCTTGAAAGTTGTGATTGATGTCATTTGGAATATTCACTTAAACACTTTCCTTGATGTTATTTATGCTTCCTACCTTGATTATCATAGATATACATATGCTTGGTGAATAAGAGTGTAAAGCACAAATGGTGATGTCGTGCCATTACCTGTATATTATCATGTGAGGGACAATGTAAAGCACGAAGGGTGATGTCGTGCCATATAATATATTTTATCATGTGAAGAAAAGTGTAAAGCACGAAGGCTGACGTCGTACCATTTCATTTGAGAGTAAAAGCACGAAGGGTGATGCCGTACCATTTTATTTTGAGAGTAAAAGTATGAAGGGTGATGCCGTGCCATTTCATTTACATTATCCGGAACTCATTTACATTATCATATGAGGATGAGAGTAAAAGCATGAAGGATAATGTCGTGCCAGTTCATTTATATTATCATGTTTTTATATTATCAAGAGCTCATGACACAAAGGGTGTTTCCGTGCAGACGAGGACGAGGGACATGCCTTATGTTGTGATATCTTCCTTGTGTGTACATTCATGCCTTTACCCGGAGTGACTTGTCGTTGTTGTTCTGTGTTTGTCCTCTATCTCGGTTGTTTTTGTGTTGGCTATGCCTTCTATCTGTTTAACTACAAATGCCATGCCTCTCTTCCTGTTGTTATATCCACATCCATGTCGTTTCTATTTTGTTACACTTTAGTATAAGCCTTCTACCATGTTAGTCATCCATGCATCTATTTGTTAGCTTATAAAGATCACACTTCCCTTCTTATTTGTTATATTTGCATTATGCCTTCTACCATGCTAGTTAGGTGAAATTATGTTCTTCTTTCCTAATTGATATCATCATTCTTATGCCCCTACCTAGTCTATTACTGTTGTCTATCTGTACTGCCTTGTTCATCATTACTACATGTGTATTTTCTACCTTGTCATTACTGCTATCGACATTTCTTTCACCAGGTTGGTACTGTTATACGTATAGTTGGTGAGGATGAGATAAATTCATGAAAGGTGTTTCCATGCCATTTGATTTGCTAGTTATCGCTCTAAGGAGAGGATTGGTCGTGATATTAAGGAATATTAATAGTGGTTCTTCTAGAAATCATCTACTGCTTCGCATTTTTGTTTCTTGTACCATATTTTGTTATGTTCTAGTATTGTTCTATTGCTAGTCTTTTGCACATGTTATATCAGTGAGTATCTTTTAACTA